AACTATGCCTAAATGCAATGATATGGTTGAATCTTACAAACATAATGATGAGTGAAAAAAGTTAGACAGAAAATAGTTCGTATTGTACGATTTCATATACATAAAGTTCCAGAACAAGCAAAGCTAAACTATGGCATTAAAAGTCAGGAAAGTGATTACTCTTCAGAGTGTAGTTACTGGAAAAGTGCAGTGAAGGGAAAGAGGGTTTCTGAAATGCAGATAATGTTCCTTTTTGTTCTTTTTTAAATCTGGGTGCTGGTTACTTTATTATGTCCATTTTTTGAAAAATCATTAAGTTCTACATTAATTTTTGCACATTTTCTTTTATCTGTTGTTATACTTCAATAAAAAGTTATTTTAAAGACTGCAATGTTTTATTCTTGGTAGGTTAATAGCATAATATTTACACTATAAATGTAATACTATTAGACTTTTATCTTGCTAACCAGATAAAGGCAGATAATAAGATATAGGTTTGTTTTTTTAAAAATGATTTTTATTTCAGTTACTGGCTAAAAGACAATCAAAAGAGATTTCACTCATCTTAATATAAGAAAATGTTTTTAAATTCTAGTTTCAAATCCCATTCCCATCCATCATTCTGGAATTAACTAACCCATGTTATTGTAATTCAGGTTTAAGCAAATATTTTAAATAAAACTATTAATAATTAGCAGTTGTTCACTCAGGCTGCATTGTCAAGGTCTATAAAATTCTTCTCTTTTCTGCTAAATTAGCTTTATTGCTTAACCTCAGAATGGATGAAGAAAACTTTAAAATAATATAGCTTAGGAAAGCATGTCATGATACGTCTTCTAAGCATAAAGTTTCAAACTCAACGTCTTTCTTTTTCGCTTTGCAATAGGATCTTTGAGTAAACATGTTGCATGTGTTAAAAATCAGAATGTAAAACTCTGAAAAGTCAACACTTTTCTACCTGAGAGTTTCCCGTCCTTCCATTTATAACTAAACATTGAGTCGTAACCTCAAAATTTAAATTGTTTTCTTAAAAACAGAGAATATGACAAAAACAAATACCTATGGATTATCTATTTAAGACTGTGTTACCAATTCTTAGAGTATGTCATCACATATGAAATAATAGCTTTTGATATAAATATTTTATTAACTACAAGAAGGAAAGGGGCAAAAAGAAAACACAGACATGCAGGAAATAAAAGTTTATTTAAAATTTTCCTTTGTAAAATAATTCTTGACAAAGATGAGTTAGTGGAAAGAATAAATATCCTGAGGCACACTACAATATTGTTTCCAATAGGTTATTCTGAAAAGCAATTTTACTGTTAAAGGATGTTACCATTTACTTCCCTGAATATCATGATGCTATGATTACAACCTATGTTTTGAAAAGTTTTCCAACTTCCTTAAACAGCTGTAGAGTACAGGTTTAAGGGGAGAAAAAGTAGTAACTATGATGTTCTTATTAATATTAATGAACATTATGACCTTTCAAACACTGATTTTAAGTCACAGTTGACAAGTGATGGGAAGGCTAATAAATTTACTTATCTTTTTTGTAGCATAAACTGCTAGTTTTCTTAACTGACATTAGAAATTCATGTATCTTCAAGATAAAATTTGAATCTAGGTTCCAGAAAACCCATGGACAATGTTCCAATGCCATGGGTGCCACCATTCAGGCAGACAACTTTAGAAAGTCACCATCCCAGTGAACTGAAGGGCAGAGATACCACTCTATGAAAAGTGGTTGAGAAATCACATTTAGTTGGTTATGATTAAGCACATTAATTTTATTCCCTTTTCTATAATGAACACTATAGAACCAATCTAGTATGAAATTAATCTCTTTCTGCAAAAATTGTGAAGCAATAATAAATATTTGCAAGCTCATACTATATATAATTCAAAAACTGTTAAAATGTCATATCCCCACTTTCCTATTTTTATGAAATACCATGAAATACTAAACTCAGCTCAGTACCTAAAAAGTCTATGAATATTTATCAAAACTTTTAGCATTAGCTTATTTTAATATTCTAGAACTCAAAGATGTGAATTTGGTTTATACTTTCAAAGAGCATTGCCCTATAAAATAGCGGAGTTGGAACTGTTCACTATACTAATTTTGATAATCAGGTAGAGTTTTTGGTACAAATGACCAAATATGCTTTGTGAATATTGTGATCACACCATGTTGACTTTGAATAAAGTTTCAGCTCCAAGTTCCGAATTCTTCCTTTAAGATACATTTAGAAATGCATTTTACAAATTTGTAAGTAAAACAAGTCGGAGAATTAACATATTATAGATCAGATCCTCTAGCTGTTATGTATTCAGGATTTGGAAACCTATTCTGCGAGCGCGGCAAGTCACTGAACCCTTCTTTATCAAAGTACAGTACAAATGATTAAAACTCTTACATGCTTACAAACGCCCTGTGACCTTCAGGTATTATGCAAGTACTAACTAAAGCCATTGAAGAGCAAAAGACCAGCCTTGCCTGCATATATAACTGTTACTGTTTTAGTAGGCTGAGAAGTAACATTTTTATGCTTTATAGAGCTTATACATTGCATCTTTTAAAATCTTATGTTTAAATTTAAACTTCTAATTCCTAGTGTGAATAAACTCATTAGACTTTCCCTTTAAGAAAGAGGAATCTGGCAGGACTCAGTGGCTCATGCCTGTAACCTCAGCACTTTGGGAGGTTGAGTTTGAGACCAGCCTGGCCAGCGTGGTGAAACCCCATTTCTACTAAAAATACAAAAAATTAGCTGGGCATGGTAGTGTGTGCCTGTAGTCCCAGCTACCCGGGAGGCTGAGGCAGGAGAATTGCTTGAACCGGCAGGTGGAGGTTGCAGTGAGTCGAGATTGTGCCACTGCACTCCAGCCTAGGTGACAGAGTGAGACTCCATCTCAAAAAAAGAAAAGAGAAAAGAAAAGACCAGACCAGACCAGAAGAGAAAAGAAAAAAGAAAAAGAAAAAGAAAGAGGAATCTTAAACAACTCAATAACAACAGAAAAATCAACTAGCCCCATTAAAAAGCGGGCAAAAGACATAAACAGACGTTTTTTAAAAGAAGATATACAAATGGCCAATAAGCATATGAAAAAATGTTCAACATCACTAATTATCAAATAAATGCAAATTAAAACCATAACATGATATTATCTTATGACAGTCAGAATGGCTATTATTAAAAAGTCAAAAAATAACAGATGTTAGTGAGGATGTAGAGAAAAGGGTCCACACTGCTGGTGGGAATGTAAATTAGTACAACCTCTATGAAAAACAGTATGGAGATTTCTCAAAGAATTAAAAATACAACTACCATTTGATCCAGTAATCCCACTATTGGGTATCTATCTGAAGGAAAAGAAATCATTGTATAAAAAAAGATACGTGCACTTGTATGCTTATCACAGCACTATTTATAATAGCAAAGATACGAAATCAGCGTAAGTGTCCATCAGTGGATGATTAGATAAAGAAAACATAGTATATACATACAATGTAGTATTATTCAGCCATAAAAAAGAGTAAAATCAGTCAGACGTGGTGGCTCAAGCCTGTAATCCCAGCACTTTGGGAGGCCGAGGCGGGCGGATCACGAGGTCAGGAGATCGAGATCGAGACCATCCTGGCTAACATCATGAAACCCTGACTCTACTAAAAAAATACAAAAAAATTAGCTGGGTATGGTGGTGGGTGCCTGTAGTACCAGCTACTTGGGAAGCTGAGGCAGGAGAATGGTGTGAACCTGGGAGGCAGAGCTTGCTGAGATCGCACCATTGCACTCCAGCCGGGGCAACAGAGCAAGACTCCATTTCAAAAAAAAAAAAAAAGAGTAAAATCATGTCATTAGCAGCAATGTGGATGGAACTGGAGGCCATTATCTTAAGTAAAACAACTCAGAAAGTCAAATACTGCCAAATAATGTGTATACATGGACACAGAATTTGTAATAGACATTGGAGACTCACAAGGGACAGTGAGAAGGGGATAGGGGATAACAAATTAGTCAACAGGTACAATGTGCATTATTCAGGTGATGGTTACACTAAAAGCCCAGACTTAACCACTACACAACATATCCATGTAGCAAAACATCACTTGTACCCCTTAAATTTATACAAAAGAAAATTTTTTTAAAGGAAAGATGCTTACCTTAAGAAGCATAGTAGGTACAAAACTGTCTAGAGTATATATTAAGCTTATAATCACGTAGATAAGCTTATATTTTTTATTAGTCCTGCTTTTTAAGATAGCTGTATTTTATATACATTTATACTGTCATTGAAAATATACACTTCTTATCTGGCAAATTCCCCATTACTGCTAAGATTGTCAAACATTTTGACGAGCAATATAAGCTGTATACATGCATAATACTGTTTATTTCTTTAAAAGAGTAAAGTAAATAAAGATAGCCACCTAAGGAACTAAATGCAATAAAATACACAAATATAAACACCTAAGAAATTTTACAAACTAATTTTTGAAATATTCTACTGTATAAAAATATAATTATGTGACATAATAGCTTTAGTTTATCATTTGTCTCATCATTTGGCAGCAGTCCCAAACAGGATAAACAGAAAGATATCTGATGAATTGAGAAATTAGTTATTATAAAAATCTTATTTATATTCACTCTTGGAGTATAATTCATTAATATTAAAAAACACCCAATTCCAAATTCATTTATTTAACCTTAAAGGCACTGTATACTGGTAAAACATTATTACACAGATATAGAATTATTATGAATTTCATTATGCAAATTTAATCGCCCATTTTACTTTGCAGGAATTATATATGCCTTAATATTTTCATTCCTCAGAAATAATAAAATTACAATTAAAATAGTTTTTACTGATAATTCAAATACAACTTTTTGGTCAGTGAGTATTTATGGCTTAATGTCACAGGCAAAAACAAAAGGAAGAAAATTGTAACCATTTTTAGTAGAAGCTACTTTCTATTTTGGCTTAGTGAAAGATGGGAGTCACTCTACCTCACAAAGCAGTAAGTCAATGATGTGGAACACCATGCAGAGTGGGAACTTGGCAGTAAAAAGAGTGAGAAACCACTGGGATGCATACATATGAGCTTCCAGGTTCAGATCACAAAAATGGCTATGCAGGTCCGGTAGCTGTTCCTAAAAGTCAAAGTGGAAAATTTAGGAAGAGGAGCAATGAGAAGCTTGCAGCAGAACAATGAAGTTCCTGCCACAACTACAGCTTTCTGTGATCGCTGTAACTGTCTTCTAGTATTGGTTGTCTTTTATATAACTGTGCAGAAGTGAAGACAGCAGATGAGAATTAGGGATATGACAGATAATTGAGGAAAATAAAAAGAGACTTAAGAAAGACTATCTCTTGCTCACTTGACTGTTCTTGTTTCTTGCAAAATGCTCATTCTACAAGAGCATCTGTAGTCTAATGAGTATCTTGACTCCAGGGTCAAGTCATAGCATCCCCATTCAGGGTTAATTTTTTTTTTTTTTTTTTTAGATAGAGTCTTGCTCTGTCATCCAGGTTGGAGTACAGTGGCATGATCCTGGTTCACTGCAACCTCTGCCTCCCAGGTTCAAGTCATTGTCCTGCCTCAGACTTCTGAGTAGCTGAGATTACAGGCATCCTCCACCAAGCCTCGTTATTTTTTGTATTTTTTACTAGATATAGGGTTTCACCATATTAGCCTAGCTGGTCTCGAACTCCTGACCTCAAGTGATCTGCCCGCTTTGGCCTCCCAAAGTGCTGGGATTACAGGTGTGAGCCCCTGTGCCTGGGCCAGGGTTCAATTCTTAACTAGCTAGAAAAGAAATGTATCTTCTCTTTGGAAATCATCTAATGCCAACATTATCTGGGGTCTATGATGTTTCAGTATATTTTTTGAACACTTAGAAATTTCCAAAGTATGACAAACTATTTAGAAATCTGTCTTCAACATATTAAAAATGGCAAAGCAAAGAAAGTGTGCAAGGGTATAATATATAAAATTGGATATCTCCTAAAAATGCCTTTATGGTAACTTTATTTTTCCCCAATTTAAACAAGCAAATGGTTTTCAAAAGCATGAACAGCAAGGTACAAAGTATTAGCATAGTTATTACCATAACTGAAAGACAAAGGCAAAGTCATGTAATAGCCCACCTCCATTTTGTTTTCATAAATAGACCACAAAAAGAAGAATAAAAAAACAAAATAAACCATTTATTGAACTACATGCTCTCTTTGAAAAATAGCCAAATGTGCCCATTAAGTACTTCAAATGGAATGTCCAAATGCTCATTCAGTTAACTGAAAAAAAAAGTGCTAACAGAAAAATGTGGTTGAAATTCTTCACAGTACCACAAATTTGTTCTTTATTAGGTATATTTACTTGATTCTCAAAGCCCTTAGGAATACCGACCTTTGAAAATATATGAACTTTTTTGTAAATAAAAGGCAAAAAGTGAATAATCCCAAATATTTACTTGGTAAAATTAAATCGTTAAAAAGGAGCTTATTGCTTTTAATATCCATACTTACCAGATTCTTCTACACAGTCTTTTTCCTCCTTAATGCCCATTTGTCATTGTACTTATGGCTCGTTTTACATCCCTCCCTCCTTTTATTTCTTTTCAATTTTAAAGTCTTCTACCCTCCTACATTCCCCCTTCTCTGAATAAATTTTTCTTTTAACCTCACTGCAAATTCATCTTCTACTGCCCTGTTCTTCTACTCTTTCAGTCTCCTATTTGCTTCATTTCCCCCTTTAGACACCTACAGATCCCCTGGCAGTTCATATCAATGAGTTCCTACCAGCATCTTCTGCTCTCACATTCTACTAACCTCCTTCCTCAACCATTTTACCCTTCCCCAAGATGGAATCAATCCATCCATGTACTTCCTTCACATTTCTCTTGGATTCCCAACACCCCTTTTAGACAAAGTCACATAAACATGCCACATAGACCCATTATAAATTTAAGATTATCAACTTCGGGTGGAACTCCAAAGTTAGTTAAAAATTCCTTTTGTCAGCTCTGGTCAATCACTTTGCCTGTGGTCACAATCTTTTTTACTATGTAATATTTAGTATATATAAAAGGATGTATGTTTCTCACACACATTTGTAAATACGTATTATAAAGCACAACAACAACATTGAAATTAGGAATTATGTTTAAAAAATTTTAAATATATCCCTACAGTATTTCAGATATGTTTTATTGTCTTATGAATATCTTTCCAGCTTTTCCAAGTGTTCTATGTAGACCCAAATAAGGAAGTGGTGCTAATTAGTATGGAGAAAGCTCTTAGGTATTTCAATTTTTACTCTGTAAATATCTTCATTCCTCTACAAACAATACTTGGCAATCTCTCAATGATTAAACTCATTAGATTCTCACTTCAAAGTATGTTTAATTTGAACATTTAAAATGCGAGATATTTTTAAAATAGTAAAATGGCTAAATAAACATTATGATAGACCAATGTAGATGCTGGTCTGAAACTAAATCCATTTACATTTTCTATAATATTCCATTAAACTTCTATAATTCATTATTGCTTACCAACTCTATTAGGCTTTTTCTATGACTCAACAAATCCCTGAGTGATAAAAATTCCTAATTTTTATTTACCTGCATTAGTCTCTCCAACTGGTAGAATTTGCAATGAAGATCTTCAAAGTTGTTTTTGTAGAGGTCTCTCAAACCATAGTCGTACATGATTTTCACCAAAACACAGAATGCTTGTTCCTCTGGCATCTACAGAAAAACATATACATATACAACATAAATAAGTGGCATTTTGCCAGAATGTCAGAGAAGTTCCCTCATGTTATTAGTCCTCTGCATAAGTAGCTGAAGTCCTGGAGCGAATGAAGTCCTTCAGAGCCAGTCTTTGGCAGAATGACATGACCTCCTTACTTGAGATGAATTATCCTCTTTTGTTAATTTTAATCACGTTGTCATTCATTCATTAGGCCATCTTTAAAAATAGGCAATACACTCATGATTAAAAAAACCAAAGCACACTTTGGGAGGCCAAGGCAGGTGGATCACTTAAACCCAGGAGCTCCAAACCAGCCTGACTAACATGGCAAAACCCTGTCTTTACAAAAAATAAAAAAATCAGCCAGGTGTGGCAACATGAGCGTGTAGTTCCAGCTACTTGGGAGAATGAGGTGGGATGATCGCTTGAGCCTGGGAGGCGGAGGTTGCAGTGAGTGAAATCACGTCACTGCATTACAGCATGGGCGACAGAGTGAGACCCTGTCTCAAAAAAAAAAAAAAGAAATCAAAACAATGTAAAAGGATCTAAAGGTAAAAGTCTCACTCCTCTCTATCATTATACATACACTAATCCCTGGTACCTACATCCCTCAACCTCTTTTGCATAACCTCATATCTACTCTTAATAATTTCTCCTGTATTCTGCCACTGATTATCTATGCAAATAAAATCATTACTTTTCTAATTTTATTTTGTCCCATCCTACATAAAAGATAATATTCTATATACATTGTTATACATCTTGATATTTTTAACAATATAAGTTGGAAATCTATCTCAGTATACAACGCGTTGTCTCTTTTCTTAAAAGCAATTACACAGTATTCCATTATATAGAATATATAGTACTATAGTTCATTTAACCAGTTTCCTATTGATACTTGAGATGTTCCTAATTTTTTAATCATAAAAAGCTTCAATAAACTTTGTATATGCATCATTTTGTACATATGCAAAAATGGGATGGGGTAGAGCACATTTCCAAAAAGGGGAATGCTGGGTGAAAAAATAAATGCATTTTAAATTTTGGTAAAGAGTGTGAGGCTCTCTTCCCTGAGTTTTCTTGATGCTGCTACTTTCTGTAAAATACAGTTTCAGGGAAATGGTCAGTAAACTCTAACATATTAGTTTTCTAAGAGGTATTTTTATCTGAATAGGGAATAAAGTCTGAAGTCAAAGGAACAAACCTCTAAACAGTGGTATCGACAGGTGAAAGAATATGGAAAAGGACATATCTAATATTCTAGAAATTACACCAAACATACAGAAAAAGTTGTACTTACTCAACGTCCCAGGATGTAACTATTATATAAACATCTACTTTAAATATAACTTCCTTGAAAATTTACATTTGGTTGATTATGGTATTTCACACATTTGTCAGACTAACTTCATACTTCAGTAACTGAATCAGGTAGAGTTCCATTTATCCACTTAGAAATGCAGTTGTTTATTTAAAAGTTTATACAAATCAGCCACTTCTATTTTCCAATTATAAACCATAAAACACCCAAATTTGTTAAATAACATCTCCAAAAGTTAAATAAATACACTACAGTGTTTTCATTTTGATTCTTTAAACATTTGCTTATTTTCTTTTTATCTATGAGTTGTTTGAGACCTTTTCAAAATTTCTGGCCACTGACCTCAGCTATTCAAGTTAGCAACTATTTTTCAGCTTCCATTTGGTTATTTAGGATACAATTACATTGTATTCTTTACTCCTTTGTCATCAAAACCTCAAGTGACACTAACTTGAACATATATGGCCAAGAATACTTCTCTTAACAAGTTGTAAGCCTCCTCATCTTCCTCTCAGATCTCTACTCAAATGTCTATACAAAACAGCTGCATGTAAAATAACTGTATCCAGGCTCACGCCTGTAATCCCAGCACTTTGGGAGGCCAAGGCAGGTGGATCACCTGAGGTCAGGAGTTCGAGACCAGCCTGGCCAACATGAGGAAATCCCTCTCTACTAAAAATGCAAAATAGCTGGGCATGGTGGTGCGTACGTGTAATCCCGGGTACTGGGGAAGCTGAGGCAGAAGAATTGCTTGAATCCGGGAGGTGGAGGTTGTAGTGAGCTGAGATCGCACCACTGCACTCCAGCCTGGAGTTTTGAGACTCTGCTCAAAAGAGGAAAAAAGAAAAAAAGATAACTATAGCCAGTCCTAGAGACACTAATTCACTTAGGTCTTTCTCTTTCTAAGTAAATGACAATTAGTTGAATGTCTTACCATCTGGTATCTTATAAAGGGAATATGTTTTTATTTATTTGAATGTGGTAAAATCATTAGGGCAAATAAAAGGTTTATGTGCCTTTTGGCATTCATACATATAGTCACGGAACAGACGAGGTGCAGGCACTGTTCTAGGCTTTAGGGATACAGAGATAAAGGTATAGTGCCTCCCTAGGGGAAGAGTAAACAGGCGACTCAGCTTGAGTTTCACAAGGATGCAGAAGTCCTGGACTAGGGAATGTTGGGTGTTGGAAGTAAACGTAAACATCAGAGACAATTTTGGAGGAGGCAGAGCTAGATGGCCAAATAGCAATCATCCTTCAGCAATCATCCTCCCTCAAGAACACCAAATTGAACAACTATCCATGCAAGAAACACCTTCATAAAAAACAAAAATTCAGGTGACTGATCACAGTACCTGGCTTTAACATGATATCAAGGAAAAAGGCACTGAAGAGGGTAGAAAAAACAGTCTTACATTGTCTACACCACACCTATCCTATACCCCCAGCATGTGTAGAGAAAGAATCCATGCACTTGGGAAAAGGAGAGTGCAGGGACTTTGCATTGGTACTCAGTGCTGCCCTGTCACAGCAGAACACAACACAGGGCAGAATTTAGCAGGCACCCAAGAAGGAAGAATTTAGACTGGCCCCGGTCAGAGGGGAAGCCCCCTGGCAGACTAAAGTGCCCTGGTGTCCTGAACAAATTGAAAAGCAGTCTAGGCCACAAGTATTACAATCTTTTGGCAAGTCTTGCTGCTGTGCTTGGCTTGAAGCCAGTGAACTTGGGGTACATACGATCCAGTGAAACACCAACTGGGGTAGCCAAGGGATCAAATAGAAACAACAACAAAAAAGCAAGTGTGGCTATACATACACCCCTTCCCCAACTCCAGGCAGGGCAGCTTGAGAGATACCCCTTTTCTGCTTATGGAAAAGAAAGGAAAGAGTAAAGAGGACTTTGTCTTGCAACTTGAGTACCAGTTCAGCCACAGTAACATGAAGCAGAGTCCTGAATCCCCTGAGTCCAGACCCTAGCTCCTGAACAGGATTTCTAGATCCATCCTGGGCCAGAAGGAAGCCTGCTACCCTGAATGTAAAGACCCTGGGGCCTTGAATAAACACCAGCAGTAACCAGGCAGTCGTCACTAGGTACCATGCTGGCTTCAGGTGTGACCAAGTGCAGTCGCAGCCATAGTAGCCAGTCCCAGCTGTGGTGGCTAGTGCTTGTGTCACCCTGCTCCTCAACGCCAGGAAGCCCAGCATGAGGAGAAAAAAACTCCATTTATTTGGGGGAAAGTGAGAGAAGAGAAAAAGAGATTCTAGGAATGATGGAATTCTCTCAGATCTTACCCAAACCCACCAAGGCTCAATCTTTGCGAGTCTGCAAAAATTGCAGCATTATTTGGCTTGGCTCATCCCCTAATGCAGATATGACTTCAGTGACTAAAGACTTAGATCACAACACTTAATTCCCTTTAGAAAGCCTTCTCAAGAAGGATGGGTATAAATAAGTCCAGACTATGAAGATTAAATACCTAACTTTTCAATGCCCAAATATCGATGAACATCCACAAGCATCAAGAATACCCAGGAAAACATGACCTCATCAAACGAACTAAACAAGGTACCAGGGACCAATCCTGCAGTGAGAGATATGTGACATTTAAGAGAATTCAGAATAGCAACTTTGAGGAAGCTCAATGACTTCAAGACAACACAGAGAAAAAAATTCAGAATCCTATCAGATAAAGTTAACAAAGAGACCAAAATAATAAAAAATAATTAAGCAGAAATTCTGAAGCTAAAAAATTCAACTGACAAACTTAAAAATATATCAGAGTCTCTGAACAGCAGATGATCAAGCAGAAGAATTAGTGAGCTTGAAGACAGGCTATCTGAAAATATATAGAGAAAAAACAACAACAAAAAGAATAAAAAGACATTAGGCATGCCTGCAAGATCTAGAAAATAGCTTCAAAAGGGCAAATCTATGAATTACTGACCATAAAGAGGAGGTAGGGGAAGAGATCAGAGTAGAATACTAGAAAATAAATGGACTGGAGTTGAAAAGTGATGCATAACAGTAGAGCTGCAGCACACCATTATATACCATTTTTATCATACAGATAAAACAGACAATGTAAATAATTTCAAGAGCACAGACAACAATAAAAAGTGCTAACATACTAAGAAGTGATGAATTTTGAGTACTTATTACTTTTGTTTTTAACATGAGTTATTTAACTGTAAATTTTTATCATTTAATTTTTAACAATGGCTGTGCTTAACAACTGGTTCACAGAATTCCTGAGAATTTAACAATTGGCCCTCAAAAGTTGGTATGATCTGGCTGTACATAGCACTGATATGACCATGATAAAGAGTTAGGAGTGTATTCTAAGTGCAGTGGGAAATCAGTGAAGAGTTTACAGCAGCGGATCTGATTTTTATTTTTAGTAAGGTCACGCAGCTGCTACCAATTCCTCATTAGTTCTCAATACTGAGGGACAACTACATTTTGGTTTAGTGAGAATCTATCACTTTTCTTTTGTATAAAGATATAATCTACAAGAATCTATATTCAATCATTCCCCTCAAAGTTTTGCCCAGAAACAGATCATGAATATACAAAAGGCGTTACAGGGGAAAAACATGATTTTGGAATTATACCAATAGATGTTAATTTCAGGTAAGGTTTTAATTACTTGCTGGGTGATCTTGAGCAGG